ATGGCTGTTTTCCTAAAAAACAATAAAATGGCCAAGTTTGAAATTAAAAAAGAAACAAACGTGTTCTTCGTTCGGTTTGATCGTTTTTGATTGAGGCATTTTCAAGATTGGTATTCTTAATTGAAATCTTTACTTCGAGCCCAAGAAATCATGGACCATCCGTCGTGACCGAAAGAAAAGCCTAGTAAAATTGCGACGCTACTATCAATAAACCAACCATTAGGCCAGAATTTGAAGATCAGAAATCCACTCAACAGAATAATATTCGAATACATGCAAGCCAGAGAACAACATGCTTCGCCATGCATGACTGAGCTATTGAGTTCGGCAGCAATCCATGGTTTTGGTAGCCATAAAAGAGTACTAAAAATGAGCATGATAACGGAAACTATGAGAGCTAGTGTTGACGAAGTTGGTTTGATGTGATGAACGAGAGCACTGATTGAAGCAGCCCATGTTCCAATTGCCAGAACAACTAAGAGTATACCAATACCAAGGGTAGATCGTTTTTCAAGCACTACATTCGCTGCCGAATCATTATTCAGTTCATGACGAAAACGATAGATGGTGAGCACAGCGGATAAGATTTCAACAATTGATTGTATACCAAACGCAGTGAGAGATTTTGATTCAACACCGACTCCAACGCCAGTTGATACAACTCCTTCGGGCATTGTATGCAATACTTATCCACGAGATAGCCAGTGCCAACCTACGCATTTGCTGAATGTCATATTTTCCGTGAGGAAAGAGACATTCAGGAAACGAATTTTTATTCATATCTACAAAAAGTCAAAGGTATATCTACAATACAAAACATGCTTCTATCGTTTTCTTGGTCACCTCTATTTCGCATTACCTATCAAAGTGTAACGACATCTAACGCATTGACTTCGCCGGTATAATTATGTGTGCCATTTCGGTACTGAATGTTTGCTTTGAAAAATGCGTGGAGAGAACAGATTGACACAAGGCGATATTAAGGGCAAGACATATTTAATCAATGAAGCATGGCATTAAACCAAATATGTGAATAGAATGGATCCTGCAGTTATCAATCTATGAAGTGTAAGGAAGTTTCTTGCTCGAATTGCATCTTAAAACTTTCTAAACATATTGGAAACTTACTTTTTTTATTTGGAATATTTTACTTCGACCTACTTGGTTTTAAGGAAAAGAAAAATGTGTATTACTCATCACATACGTACCATAGATAAAGTATACCGACACACATTTTATATACACAAAAATTTCCAAGGCATCACTACGTTGTAACATTCTCAATCACCACATTCATATCCGATTGCTCCATATGATCTTGTATCAGATGAAGATTCTATCGGTTCCCTATCGATATGTGGCGGATATTTCACGTGTGACTGCCATATTAAATAAATATCAAATGTGTATACGAACAGTTCGTATTCGCGTGCCAATTTTATGAACGAAATGTAATTCTGGGCTAGATGTTCTAGAGTACGTATTCGTATAAATAATGATAAACTGCTGTTATGTTATAGATGACCTATTTTATGTATCCAAAATCTCAATGTTTGCACACACGAGCTCACTTTCAAAGATCTTCTCACGCTAGAGTCAAAGGTACTGTTTGGCATTCTCAGCAAGATTATCTTTGGAAATGTCTCACATTTTACAATATAAGGAAACCTAAAAACATAATTCTATAAGGTATCTATCGTTAACAGTGCAGCAACCGAGATAGGCTGTGAAACACCAAATGCTGCAAGCAATGAGTGATGTAGAGATAAGATACAGACATTATATAGGGCAAGGAGGAGAAAAGAGAAGTGCGATAGATACTGTAATAAATATCGTGAGATGATGATGATGGTAGTAGAAAGACTAGAAAAGACAATTCTGCTTACACTAAAGTTTGCACTAGATATTTGGAACTAAGAAATACGGTTCCAAATGATCTTTTATAGTATTGCGTTCATAGTGAAATATAATTTATGCATCATGATGAAAGACGTATATATTTCAAAGATAAGCGATCGAATTCTAATGTGAGACGGACTTTTTGATATCTAATCACTTCAGAAAGGATCGTAAGATGGTAGATGGAAACTTGCATGTAAAACTTCTTGGAGAACGCATGCTAAAGAACTTTCTCGATTTAGTAATTATTAATGGGGGAACATAAAAGACGAGTCACACTCAATTGCACAAGGAAAAGAAGGCTTATACGCCACTATATTGATATATTCCAATGCTAGAGTCGGAGAACTAGATGTGCTGCGATCTCCTTTCAAGGAGATTCGAGCTGAATTTAAAAATGTTTTCAAAAGTCACCTTCTCCGATACTGATATTTCAGGGGGCATAAAATGCTCTATCAGTTTACTATACAGCTCGATCGTTATAAGTCTCCGTTATTACATATTTTTTTTCTTTTCAGAATATCGTAGCTGATCATGAAGCAAAGCGGCTTTTATTCTTCAAATTCTATTCATAAATCATGTTGTTCTCTAAATAATATAATAGTAGAAAGAACTCGGCGTGCAATATCAAAAGCCGAACAATATACTTACAGAAAAGTAGAATGTGAATGATCGTTAGGGTGCCACTACAAGGTGAGGATTATAGAAAGATAACGGATAACGAAAAGATGCCGAATCTAGAGATCTGATTATAAAAGGATACTTCAATGATAAATGTCAGCATTATAATTAATTCAGAAAGAAGACATTGTCCCATTTGTAGATATCCCTGATTCGTTCGAACGTAACGGATGACCCGCAAATGATGGCATAGCTTCTGCAATTGGCCTATAACTTCTTTGTTAGTTGATCGTTGGAGCTCATTCTTTCGGCAAAGGATGCATCGTCAAATTTTCCATAAAACCGTAAAAGACTAATAGAGCTTTTCATGTTGCGTTATAATATATACTTTGGCTTCAAGAAAATAGGCAAACGTTATCCATCGATAAAATCTATGGTAACATTGAAAATTGAGTATTGCGTTGGGCTTTATTCTTTATCACGAGATGTTCCAACTGATTCCGTGTGCGGAACTGATTCCCAAATGTGCAACATTGCGGAATAGGATGTATTCTCCAAACACCAAATAAATAATTTCATCGTATACAAAATGTGACCGATTCGTTTCTTAGGCAAACTATCCCTCTTAAGTACTTCCCCGTCGTGCGATTAATTTTTCCTCCAATTGTTTAATCTCACATTTGGTTTATTGAACGACATTAGGATCCATACAAATATAGCAGATTGCAAATTGTTGTCATTTTTCTCAGTACAAAGTTCGCAATAGAAAAGTATGTCACAACACTTCCGACATGTTAGCAACACTTGTTCGAATACAATAAAATCATGAGATAAAATCTTACTGTGTGATTATTCCATCAACCATTTTCGTAGGCACTACAGCGGAAAACATGCGACAGTTAACAAAGATTTTCTAAGTCTATAATAGACCGATTCACTAATAAGTGGTCATATAAAACTACACGAATGCCAATTTTCAATCTTTTTCTGTTTTTCTTTTCTATTACAATGACGTCTAAATTATCCAAGATCATATCCTTGTATTCAAAAGCCGCCTGATGAAGACGTGATTTTCCTAAAGTGAATTGTTAATCACAAGAGCGGCAGTAACGCTCTCAAATGTTCTACGAATGGAATTAATTGACAACACAGGCAGTTCCAACTCCACCACGGAGATCGGAACCCACCGGTCTGCGTGCCGGTCGCAAGTCCGGACAAAGGAGGAGCGTTTGACGGAAGGGGTGCAGATACCGTCGTCAGTAAAAACAAAAAGACGAAAGAAACCAACCATGAACGACGATCATAGGAATCCATACCGGCTCGGACGTCGCCCGGGAAAACAAGGTCCGCGTCCTCTGCCGAGTGACCAGGGCAGAGTCGGAAAGTCGGCTACTGGAAAAACTGACGACGTTAACACGCCTTCTACGACGAAAAACACGCATAGACTGAGACTAGCAAAGAAACTCCTGACAGTGGGAACATGGAATGTGCAGACTCTGTGGGCTGCGGGCAAGCTAGAACTGCTTCGAAACGAAATGAAACGTTTCAGATA